CTCGCTCCAGGTTGCAGAGCGGGCTCTGTATTTCTGGAACAACGAATACATCCTGAGCCTGGTTGAGGACAACTGCCACACGGTGCTGCCCACCATTTTCGGCACCCTCTATCGCGTCTCCAAGGAGCACTGGAACCCGTAAGTGGCTGCCTGGGTTGGAGTGCCTGCAGGACCCCTGGGGTGGAGGTGGGCCAGTCCTGCAGTGTCCCTCTGCCCCCAGTTGCCAGCAAAGCCTCAATGCTCCCATTGCCCAACTTTGGGGAAAGGCCACAGATTTATATCCTGCCCTGTATCACTTTTATTTATTTATTGCTCTTACCTTTGGCGCTGTGGGTTTAAACCACAGAGCCTAGGACTTGCTGATCAGAAAGTTGGCGGTTCGAATCCCCGCGACGGGGTGAGCTCCCGTTGCTCGGTCCCTGCTCCTGCCAACCTACCAGTTCGAAAGCATGTCAAAGTGCAAGTAGATAAATAGGTACTGCTCCAGCGGGAAGGTAAACGGCGTTTCCGTGCGCTGCTCTGGTTCGCCAGAAGTGGCTTAGTCATGCTGGCCACATGACCCGGAAGCTGTACGCCGGCTCCCTTGGCCAATAAAATGAGATGAGCGCTGCAACCCTAGAGTTGGCCACAACTGGACCTAATGGTCAGGGGTCCCTTTATCTTTATCTTTTGCTCTGAAGAGCTAAAAGTGGCAGACATGGTTATTCCCACCTCGTTTAATCCCCTACTACAACCTTGTGAGGTAGGTTAGGCTACCTGAGAGGCACTGACGGAGCTCAAGGTCACCCAGTGAGCTTCATGGCTGAGCGGGGATTTGAACCCTGGTCTCTCCCAGGCCCTAGTCTTAGGCTCTAACCACTCCACCGCACTGTCTCTCTTTAAGTGTAAGGCTGGCTACACCTTCCAGGGCCTCAGTAAGCAGAAGGGAACCCACTTTTAGGTTGAAAGATAATCCAGCTGTTGACTGATGGGGTGGGGCTGGAGGTGACTTAGCAGTCCTGGGGTGTAACATCTAGATTTCTCTCTCCCCCCCCCCGGCACTGCCACCCTCTTCTCCAGGACCATTGTTTCTCTGGTCTACAATGTCCTCAAGACCTTTATGGAGATGAACGGGAAACTATTTGACGAACTTACGGCCTCCTACAAGGTGGAAAAACAGCAGTAAGTGTCTACGTGGCAGACGAGGGAGAGAAATTGCAAGTCTGGGCAGCTTCTCCTGTTTATTTATGAATATTCATTGGGAGCATTTATACCCTGCTGGCTTGGGCTGATGGGATTTGGGAGTCTAGCACCATCCGCAGGGCCCCCACGGGTTCTCGATCTTCTCTGCATCTTTCGCAGCAGCACATGTGAAAGCACAGTATATATAGGGTTCTTCGCAGACCGCCGGCTTAGCATGAGTCAGCGGCGTGATGCAGTAGCAAAAAAAGCGAATGCAATTCTAGGCTGCATCAACAGAAGTATAGTGTCCAGATCAAGGGAAGTAACAGTCTTACTCTATTCTACCTTGGTCAGACCACACCTGGAATACTGTGTCCCATTCTGGGCATCCCTGTTTAAGAATATTGTCAAGCTGGAGTAAGGGCCGATGGAGTGACCAAGATGATCAAGGGTCTGGAAACCAAGACTTATGAGGAACAGTTGAGGGAGCTGGGTGTGTTTAGTCTGGAGAAGAGGAGATTGAGAGGGCATAGGCTGGCTGAAGGAAGAGCTGCCACAGGGAAGATGGAGCAAACTTGTTTTCTGCTGCTCCAGAGGGGAGGACCCAAATCAAAGGACAGGAATGACAAGATAGGAGATTCTGACTAACCATTAAGGATGAATTTCTGAGGGGAAGAGCTGTTTGACAGTGGAAAGTACTCCCTCAGAAGGTGGTGGACTCCCCTTCACTGGAGGGTTTCCAACAGAGGTTGGATGGCCGTCGGTCAGGGATTCTGAGATGCTTGCATTGCAGGGGGTTGGACTAGATGACCCTTAGGGGTCCCTTCCAACTGTATTTCATGTTTTATTGTATGTTTAATATTTTGTTGGAAGCCGCCCAGAGTGGCTGGGGAAACCCAGCCAGATGGGCAGGGTATAAATAACAAATTATTTTATTTTATTTATTTTATTATTATTATTATGTGTACAATTCTACGATTCTCCATTTTCAAACCGTGGAGGCAGAGCATAGCTGTTGTGGCTAGCCATTGGTAGCTTTCTCCTCCACAAATTTGCCCAGTCCGCTTTTTAAAGACATCTAGCTTGGTGGCCCTCAGCCGCCTCCTGTGGGAGTGAGTTCCACAGTTTACTTTGTGAAGGAAGCACATTCTTTTTTCCTATCCTGAATACAAAGCCAAAAAGAACCGTCCTGCCTTAAAAAAAAAAAGCAGGCTGCAGTTACAGAAAATACCAAGAAACCCTATGGGAATTCGAATACAGACCCCAAATAACAAAACTCTTGGCTCACTCCAAACGCCGACCCTTGGAAGATGGCATGGCTTATCGTAGAACTTTATAGAGTTGGAAGGGGGTACCCAAGGGTCATCTACTCCAGCCCCCCCATGATGCAGGAACTGCAACTGTTTGCATCCTTCGCTGCATCTCCCTCTCCTTTTAAATTTCTCTACTCCCAGGGAACTGAAGAAGGCGAAGGAGCGGCAGGAGCTCTGGAGGCAGCTGGACGAGCTGCAGTTGCGGAAGCTGCAAGGACTGGAAGAGGCCAAGATGAACCGCCTAAACCTGCAGCACTCCCTGGCTGTGCAGAGCGGAGGGGCCAGCTAGGAGCCCCCCTCCCTCCCCTGGAGCCCCCACCCCCTGCCCTCCCCACCCACCCACTGTGGCTTGTGGGAGCCGCCCACCCGGGTGCAGGGCCCGTCCCAGAGAGCCGGACGCTCCCTACCCGCCCCCAACCAGCCTGTGCCAAACCAGGGCTCCTGCCTTTCGCTCCTCCTGGGGGGGTGGGCCTGGCCCTCACCCACCCACCCACCCACCCACCCAGGGGGGTGACCACGGAGGAGGCCCTGTTTGCTGTGGCTGTGAAGCAAAATGGTCTGAGTGCATGGCTATGTTTGCTGCGTGTGGGCAGAAGGAGGCATCGGAGGGGCTCCCCTGCTGGGCTTGTTTTGGGGAGGGGGAAGAATGGTGGTGAGGGGGGGTCTTAAGAGCTGTGAGGCCAGAGTTTGGGGTGGGGATCTGGTGGGTGGTACCCAAAGCAAGATTAAGCAATAGGCCTCTTGATCCAAAGCTGCCCTCCCCATAGCGGTGGGGCTTTCTGTTTCGGAAGAGTGGGGAGCACAAACCAATGGGGGGGCATCCGGGTTTTTTTGGGGAGGGGCTCCCTGGCTCCCTATTGGGGAGCATAGGGGTGAAGGAGGGAAGTCCCCCTCTATCTCTGAGGACCTTGTTCACCAAGGCCTAGTCTGGTGGTTTCAAGCCCTAAACTGCTGCCCCCCTCCCCAAGTGGAAGAGCCGCAGCATTTCTTCTCCCCCCCCCGTTCTGTCTCCCCCCCCCATTTGCCTCAGCCAGAAACGGAGCAGGGTTTCGGGGAGGAAAGGTGGAAGAGGCCTTTCCGCAAAAACAGAAATGGCACGGTTGAGGAGGGAGTTGTATTTGTGCAGATCTGGGCCTATGCATGCTCTCGTGGGACGCCGCAGTGGGGGGAGCGCACTGGGGTTCTTCCCTCTGGGTTTAGGGCTGTGGGCGGGGGCTGGCAGCTGCTTTCCCCCTTCAGCAGTTTATTGGGGGGACGGACAGTGGGGAGTTTGGTGCGTGTCCCCCTGGAAGAGATTCCTCCCCTCTGGGGCTTTTATAGTTTTCACACTTTTGCATTCTTGGGTGGTCAGGAGTGTGTGTGTGGGGAGGGAGAGAGAGAGACTCAGGTGCACTTTGCTTAGATTCTCACAGCCCCCCCCCCAGATGGAGCGTAGCTCTAACACGTCCCCCGTTCAGCTCCCTATTTCCACCAATTAGAAGGGGAGGGAGGGGGCGATCTTGACGGGAGAAGAGTGTTCAAACTCCTGCACTTTAGAAGGGCTGGTTGTTGCACAGGTGGAAAGCAGGGATGCCTCTGATTATGGGGGGTGGGGGTGGGTAGGAAATGCTTGCTGGGAAATTGAGTTTTTTGGGGGGGGCATTGAGGGTCAGGACATTTCAAGGGTAAGCAGACAAGGATGTACCACCTCTCTGCAGGAGGAGGGGGAGGCGGTGGCTGCAATCTCGCTCCTTCTCTCTCAGGTCTTGCGGCGGGTGGGGGGGTGACAACATTTGGTCTTGTGGGACTCCGCCATCCCTGACTGGGGCTGGTGGTAGCTGGGAGAAACATCTGGGGTGTTCCAGGTCCAAAATACTAGGGTGCTGTGGTTGTGGTGACGATAAAGGGGTCGGGGGGGGGGGAGGCCTTGGTTTGCTGACTATATCATTCCCCCTCCACCAAAGGGTTTAGTATATGTGTGTGGGGAGTGGGGGGGGCGTTTAAAAGCTCCCCACTACCACCACTGCCACCCCTCCCTCTTTGCTCGGCATGATGACCTCAAAACATTATCTGTAACCAGAAGAATAGTCACTGGGTGGTTATTTTGGGGAAGGGGGGGCATTGAGTGTATTACAGTTTTATTTTTTAGCAGAACACTGAAGCCAGTTGGGCACTGTAGTATCTGGGGACACCTCCTCTTCTATAGTCTATTTAGATGCCACACTTGTGTAGTTTCCACAGGGGGGGAGGCCCCGAGGCACCCAGGGGTGGGGTGGGGTGGGGGGGGGGAGGGAGGATGCTGCAGAAGAGAGCTATTTTGTTGAAGGGGGGCAGGGGCGTCGTCGGTCTTATTTATTAAAAGTTTCGCCCTTGCCCTGTGTTCCTTTTGCTGGACGATTCTGTATTCAATAAAGAGAAACCTTCCATGTCACGGCTGATTTTGACGTCTGATGTCAGTGGCTTTGGGGGGAGCGCAGCTGGGCAGGTGGCACTGATGCCTCTGAGATCTGAACGGAGAAAAGAGCTGGGAGAATCATGGTTGTGGTTTTATATTTTATTTCGTTGCATTTATATCCTCCTTGTTTCCACAAAAGGTTTCTTCTGCTTGCTTGCGTTTGCAACTTGTGGGGCAGAGCCCCCTCAAGGGGAAGAAAAAGTGGCCCCGGCCTCTCCCGCCACTGCAGCTTTCAGGCTTGTTGAGTTCGCTAGTTTGCCAAGTATGTAAGGAGGCAATATTTGGGGGATGTGGTAGGTGTCAGCGTGGCTCTGCAGGCAGCTGCCTCTGGGCTACATCCTTGAATTAAGCAAACTCTGGTTGGGAGAGGAGAAGGGGGAGACCAGGGTAGTGAGAGCCGGCAATGGATAGCATAGAAAGGCCGCAAGCAGGGATGGCTACCACTGACTCCCTAATATCTGGAGAGGCGGCAGACGTCACACTGGCAAGTCTTTGCTGTGAAGACTTCTATGGTCTCAGGCCGAGTGGCCCCACAACGCAGATGCACTTTTATCTGTAGGAGAAAGAAAAGAGCAGAAGATGGTATGTTTAGCCAGGAGAAGAGAAGAGGTGAAAGAAGAGCCATTTTCAGCTATCTAAAGGGCTGTCACATGGAAGATGGAGCAAGCTTGTATTCTGCTGCTCCAGAGGGAAGGACCTTGAACATACAGGTTCAAATGAAGAAGAGAAGAAGCAGAGTTTGGATTTGATATCCCGCTTTATCACTACCCGAAGGAGTCTCAAAGCGGCTAACATTCTCCTTTCCCTTCCTCCCCCACAACAAACACTCTGTGAGGTGAGTGAGGCTGAGAGACTTCAGAGAAGTGTGACCCAGGTCACCCAGCAGAGACACGAACCCGGGATACCAGATTATGAATCTACCACTCTTAACCACTACACCACACTGGCACTGACATGGAAAGAGATTCCAACTAAACAATAGGAAGAACTTTTCTGACAGTAAGAGCTGTACTTTGGAAGGTGGTGGACACTCCTTCACTGATGGTTAAGCAGAGGTTGGATGGTCGTTGGTCGGGGATTATTTAGCTGTGATTCCTGCCTTGCACAGGGTCGGACGTGGATTAACCCTTGGAGGCATCCTTCGAATTCTACAGTTCTAGGATTGTAGAATCCTAGAATTGTATTCGGAAGCGATCCTGACAATGATCTAGTCCAGCCCCCTGCTTTGCAGGACTATGTAGCTGTCTCATACGGGGATCAAATCTGCAACCTTGGCATTTTCAGCACCATGCTGTGGGAGCCTGGCTTTTCCTGCTCTGACCGCCCACTTCAGCCCCTTTTCTAACTAGGCCTTTGCCATGTAATGCTCACCTTCAGCCTAGTCCAGAGTTTCATGAGCTGCAACCTACCCCTTTCTCTAGATTTTCGTATATGGGGAAAGGGCCATAACTCAGTGGCAGAGCATCTGCCTTGCAAGCAGGAGGTCCCAGTTTCAATCCCTCCTGGCATCTCCCAGGAGGGCTGGGAGAGATTCCTGCCTGAAATCCCAGAGAGCTGCTGCCAGTCAGTGTAGACATCACTGAACTAAATGAACCAATGGGTCTGACTTGGTGCCTATCATTCTCTCTGCCTCCACTGGCAGAACCAACCAAACAGGAGGGGCCTTTCCATCACCACATTGCTAGTTATAGGAACATAAGAGCTGGCTGGATCAGGCCAAAGGGACTCCATCTGGTCCAGCATCCTGTTCTCACAGTGGCCAACCAGATGTCATTCGGAAACCCACAAGCAGGACCCCCGAGCACAAGAGCCCTCTCCCCTCCTGTGGCTTCCAGCAACTGGTATTCAAAAGCATTGCTGCCCCAACAGTGCCAGCAAACCCTCCAAGTGTCCCTATTATCCAGGGATAGTCCCAGATTTACAGAAGCTGTCTCAGTTTCTGATTTGATCCCAGAATGTCCTGCTTTTCCTTTTTTCAGCGGAGAAATGTTGGATGGTATGGAATTATGCAAATCCAGAGCCGAGGAGATAAAAGTAACTACAGCCTTTAGAAGACATTTGAAGGCAGTCCTGTATGGGGAAGTTTTTTTAAAAAATGTTCAATGTTTTATTATTTTTAATAAGTTGGAAGCTGCCCAGAGTGGCTGGAGCAACCCAGTCAGATGGGCAAAGTATAAATAACATATCTATCTATCTATCTATCTATCTATCTATCTATCTATCTATCTATCATCTATCTATTTATCAGACAAATATTGGAGGGTGTGCAGTGGAGGCAGAGCCCAGACACTGAGGTCCAGCTCCAAGGGCCTTCTAATGGTTCCCTCACTGCGAGAAGTGAGACTACAGGGAACCAGGCAGAGGGCCTTCTCGGTAGTGGCGCCCACCCTGTGGAACGCCCTCCCAGCAGATGTCAAGGCAATAAGCAACTATTTTACTTTTAAAAGACAACTGAAGGTGGCTCTGTTTAGGGAAGTTTTTAATGTTTGATGCTGTATTGTTTTTCATATTCGGTTGGAAGCCACCCAGAGTGGCTAGGAAAACCCAGCCAGATGGACAGGGTATAAATAATAAATTATTGTGATGATTATTCTTATTATTAGCCAGAGCATAGCTAGAAGCCACCAATAGTCTTATTCCCCATGGATTTGCCCATTCCTCTTTTAAAGCCATCCAGGTTGGCGAGCATCCTGCGACAGTGAGTTTAACTCGTGTGTTTGCGTGAAGCAACCACCATCAAACCGGTTGCAGGGTGTGTGTAAGTTCCAGTTACATAGATGGGTGTCCGTTTCACTCACCTTCTGCATCTTGGCGATGGTGCAGCACTGGGAGACGGACGTGATGTTGTGCTTGAAGTTGCTGGCCAGGAGGACAGAGTACTTGGAGGGGAAGGCGCTGGATTCGCAGTAGCCCACGCAGGCGTGGACCGTTTGCCTGCTGCGGCAGCTCCCTCGGGGGTCACTCTTGATGGTCACGCTGAAAGCTGGGAGAGGAGGAGGAAGAGCAGGGCAATCGTGGGTGGGCAGCAAAAGAGGACACATGACATTTTCGCAAATATAAGAAATCCACCAGGGCGGAAATTTTACCCCTGAAAAAGAGGACGTCCTGGGGGGGGGGAGGACACATGGCATCCCTAAAAACATGCCAAAGGAAGGAATGCTTTTGCTTTAGAACAGGGCTGGGGTTCTCTATCTCGTTCAGGGCCAGATGCGGCCCCCACTGGCCCCCAGTCTCCCTACCGCTCACTCCACCCCACACAGCAGTTAGGCTCAATACAAAGGGTATTCCCAACCCCTGTTTTAAAAAGAAGGGGGGGAGGGGCTTTTATTGGCCTATGGTCATAACATTCCTGCTGTTGTTTGAGTTTTTTTAAAAAACAAAATCTGCTCAAATTCTTAATATATACTCTCTATTTTCTTTTAGGGACGCGGGTGGCGCTGTGGGTAAAACCTCAGCGCCTAGGACTTGCCGATCACATGGTCGGCGGTTCGAATCCCCGCGGCGGGGTGCGCTCCCGTTGCTCGGTCCCAGCGCCTGCCAACCTAGCAGTTCGAAAGCACCCTCGGGTGCAAGTTGATAAATAGGGACCGCTTACTAGCGGGAAGGTAAACGGCGTTTCCGTGTGCTGCGCTGGTGCTGGCTCGCCAGAGCAGCTTCGTCACGCTGGCCACGTGACCCGGAAGTGTCTGCAGACAGTGCTGGCTCCCGGCCTCTAGAGCAGTGTTTCCCAACCTTTTTTTGGCAAAGGCACACTTGTTTCATGAAAAAAATCTCGAGGCACACCACCATTACAGCCCCGTGACGTCAGCGCGCAGCGTCACGCCGGGAGGGACATGAATTGCTAGCAAATTACATAATCACCTCCTTGAGGGCTGGCTCATCTTCTCCGAAGGCAGAACCCCATTAATTAACAGCACAGACTCACACCATAGCCAAGACGAGGGGGGAAAACCTCAGTCATGCACAGTCATGCACATGTGGGGGCTAAATGAGGACGAAGACCGGGCAGAGAGCAGGGTTCAAATCACCCCACCTGGCCAGGACAATCCCTGGGTGCTCCCTTGGGCCACTCGCCTGACCCACCTCGCAGGGCTGTTGTTGCGAGGATAACACCGGGAGAACCACGCGCGCGCCCGGGAGCTCCTTGGAGGAGAAAGCGGGCGATGAATGCAATGCACGAAATATATGAGAGGCGACCAGGTTTTGCAGGTGAGGGGCCCCCGCCAGCCTCCCCTTCCAACACCTGGCGCAACGACACCGAAGTTTCCCCCCGGGCTCGGCTTGGGGAGCAGCGCTGCTCCCCCCCAGCTCCCCTTCGCCCTCCCGGCTCTCTCTGCCGCCCACTGGGGACCCCCTCACCTGCCAAGTCCGGAGCGCCGGTGGAAGTTGCATGCATACATGCAGGGCGCCGCGTTGCCATTGCATTGCACTGCACTCCATGCAACGCCTGCACGCATGCATTGCCTTGCACGCCCGCCAAGGGGTCTCCCCGCGGTCCGATGCGTCCCCTCCGGCGCGGATGCAGCATTGCAAAAATAAAACCCCCCCGACGCAGCCCTACCTGGGGGGCAGCCTCCGCCTCCGCCGCTCCGCCTCCGCGGGGATCCCCGGGCTCCATCCTGCCGCCCGATCTCCGCGGGGGCGCAGGCAGGCTGTGCGGGGTCTGCGCAGAAGAGCCCCTGCCCGCCCGGCCGCCGCGCTCATTCCATGGCCGGGAGAAGAGCGCTTCAAACAAAACGCCCGGCCCGCCAGGCCACGCTGGGAAACGTAGCTCGTGCACCCCGCGCGGGCGCGGAGCCCAAGGGCGAGGGGACTACGGATCCCGGCAGCCCCCGCGCCGGGGACGGAGGGGGAGAGGCCGGGTGCAGGGATGGAGGGACGGGTGGGCGAGCGAGTGAGTGAGTGGCAGCCGCCAAGCCTTGGCCGAGAGCCAGGAAGGGCCTCCCCGGAGGAGGAGGAGGAGGAGGGAGGCGCAGAGCGGGAGGGAGGGAGGGAACCCCAGGGGTCATCTAGTGACGGCGCCCCAATCGAAAATTTGACTTAAAAAAAAAAACTTTCAATTTTTTAATTTTTCCCGCGGCACACCAGGCAACATCTCGCGGCACACTAGTGTGCCACGGAACAGTGGTTGGGAAACACTGCTCTAGAGTGAGATGAGCGCACAACCCTAGAGTCTGTCAAGACTGGCCCGTACGGGCAGGGGTACCTTTACCTATTGTTTTCTTTTGGGGTGGGAGGAATCTTATCGTGAACCTATCCACCAAGGATGGATTCCAAATAATTGGTGTTAATCCAGGATGATCCAAAAACCTGCTTTGACAATTAAAAAAAAGGCAAGAGTTTCCAGTTTTGTTTTGTTGTCTCCTGCCTTCCCAGGCTGAGATCCTTGCATCTCCAGCAGGGCTCAAATCCCTGGAAGGTCTCCCATTTTGTGGGTCTTTATGACAGTGAACCCACTGCTTCTGAAAGGCTTTGGATCGGTATCGCTGTTGCATTGATCTATGTAATTGCATAGCTTTGCTGGAGCCAGCCCAGAACTTTTATTATAGAATCCCAGAATTGTAGGGTTGGGAGGGACCCCCCAAGGATCATCTAGTCCAACCCCCCCCCCCGGCAAGGCAGGATTCGAAGCGAATTGAGCAAGACTCCTGGGAACGCTGGACGCCAGGCCCTACAGGTGTGAGAAGTGAATGAGGCTGGGTGTCTCAGCAAGGGCCCAGACACCTTCCCTCCCCACCCGCTTCTTTGTGGAGGCAGACAGTCCCCTGCTGAGGACTGGCTGCTTTCCCCCCTAACCCCCAAGCCCTGCAGCTCACGATGGAGGTGGCAACCGACTCCAGGGGTGGCTTCATAAGTCCAGCAGCCTGTGGCCAGCAGCACCGAGAGGACGGCGGCAGAGAGGAGAGTTGGCATGGCCTCTGGGGTCTCTGAAAGAGAGAGGCTTGGCATTGGCAAATACACAAGGCAACATCAGTGTGTGAGAGAGAGGGGGAGGGAGAGAGTGCACAAAACAACACACATAGGACTGTTGGGTGAGATAAGGTAAAGGTAAAGGTACCCCTGCCCGTCCGGGCCAGTCTTGACAGACTCTAGGGTTGTGCGCTCATCTCACTCTATAGGCCGGGAGCCAGCGCTGTCCGCAGACACTTCCGGGTCACGTGGCCAGCGTGACAAGCTGCATCTGGCGAGCCAGCGCAGCACACGGAACACCGTTTACCTTCCCGCTGGTAAGCGGTCCCTATTTATCTACTTGCACCCGGGGGTGCTTTCGAACTGCTAGGTTGGCAGGCGCTGGGACCGAGCAACGGGAGCGCATCCCGCCGCCGGGATTCGAACCGCCGACCATGCGATCGGCAAGTCCTAGGCGCTGAGGTTTTACCCACAGCGCCACCCGCGTCCCTGTTGGGTGAGATAGGACCACGCAAAAGTCATCTAGTTCGTCCCCCTGAAATGCAGAAATCACAGATAAAGAATCCCTGGCAGATGGCCATCTAATCTCTTTTTTAAAAACTGCAAGGAAGGAGAGTCCACTACCTTCCGAGGAAGCCCGTTCCACTGTCAAACAGCTCTTACCGTCGGAAGGTTCTTCCTAATGTTTAGATTAAATTTCCTTCCTTGCCATTTGAATCTGTTGGTTCAGGTCCTCCCTTCTGGAGCAGCAGAAAACAAGCTTGCTCCATCCTCCGTGGAACAGCCCTTCAGATATTTGAAGACATCTATCCTATCCCCCGTCTGTCTTCTCTGGTTGTGGCGTCAAAGCCACCTGCCTCCCTCCAAATGCTTTGGACTGCAAACTCCCACCACCCCCAGCCAACATGGCCATTTTGAACTACAACTCCCAGTCATCTTGGCCCAAGGCTGATGGGAGTTGTAGATTTCTCCCAGATGTTTTGGACTAAAGTTTTTAAAAACTGCAACAGCTACTGGCAATGACCTGCTTGTGATGTCTCAGCAACCTATTTGCAGCATCAAGTCCCCTGCCCCACCCTCTCCAGGTCTAATTGCACACCAATCAATCGGGACGTGCCCTTTGCACATCTTGTTGAGTGTGCAAAGTGGTTTTGAACAAAAGAACTTGTTTGCTGGATCAGGCCAGTGGCCCAGCCAGTCCAGTATCCTGTTCTTACAGTGGCCAACCAGATGCCTGTGGAAACCAGCAACTCTCAACTGGTATTCAGAAGCATTTTTTGCTCCAACTGTGGAGGCAGAGCATAGCCAATGTAGCTAGTAGCAATCGATACCCCTATGAATCTGTCTAATCCTCTTCTAAAGCTGTCTAGGTTGCTGGCCTTCACTGACTCATGTGGCAGTGAGTTCCATATATAAACTACATTGAAAGTACAGTGGTACCTGGGGTTAAGAACTAAATTTGTTCTGGAGGTCTGTTCTTAACCTGAAACTGTTCTTAACCTGAGGTACCACTTTAGCTAATGGGGCCTCCCGCTGCTGCCGCACTATTTCTGTTCTCATCCTGAAGCAAAGTTCTTAACCCGAGGTACTATTTCTGGGTTAGTGGAGTCTGTAACCTGAAGCGTCTGTAACCTGAAGTGTATGTAACCTGAGGTACCACTGTAGTGGATAAAGTTAAGCTTTATTTTGCAACCTTTATCCCTTGCAGCATCACTCCAAGGCTGACTGTGACTTGCCCAAAATCCCAGCTTCTGCCTGCGGGTCAGTTTGCATCACCCAGATTATCCTTGCAAACTGTGCTCTGAGTCCTAACCAGCCCCCATGTGCTCATGCACTTACCTGCAGACCTTGATGGAATTATTCCAGTCCACTAACAAAGCAGACTTTGACTTGTTTCCAGTCCTGAGAGGTGTCTGTATCTCAGGTGGCTGCCTCTCCTCTTCACCTGGGCTCTTCCCTTTTTAAGCTCCTACCTCCCTTGTCTCCCCACCCACTTCATCTTGACTGGGAGAAGTAAAGCCGTGCCACTCACGCAGCAGCCCGCCCGTCTGCCAAAACCCAAGCACCACAACTTGTCTGCCCTTCCAAGTTCCTGGAATGATTCTGCTGTTCTGGGCCCTGCTGCCTTGCAGTAACCGAGCCCACAGCTGGCTAGCTAGACTTCCCCAAACACCTGCAATCCGCCCCCAACATAGAATATCTGCGCAAGAAAAAGCACAGAATGTGGGGGGAGCCTTGGCTGAGGTGCGTTAAGAACACAAGAAACTGGCTAAACTGACATACAAACTGCGAGATAAGGACAACTGTGACTTCAAAGAAGAATGGGAACTTTTTACAAATTATCTAAAAAGACAACAAAATGAACTGGACTCCTTGGCAGGTTTTGAATAAACATACACAAATTTATTGATTAACATAGTAGATAGGGACGCGGGTGGCGCTGTGGGTAAAACTTCAGCGCCTAGGACTTGCCGATTGTATGTTCGGCGGTTCGAATCCCCGCGGCGGGGTGAGCTCCCGTCGTTCGGTCCCAGCTCCTGCCCACCTAGCAGTTCGAAAGCACCCTTAAGTGCAGGTAGATAAATAGGTGCCGCTTTCTAGCGGGAAGGTAAACGGCGTTTCCGCGTGCTGCGCTGGTGCTGGCTCGCCAGAGCAGCTTCGTCACGCTGGCCATGTGACCTGGAAGTGTCTTCGGACAGCGCTGGCCCCCGGCCTCTTAAGCGAGATGGGCGCACCAACCCCAGTCGGTCACGACTGGCCCGTACGGGCAGGGGTACCTTTACCTTTAATATAGTAGATAGATAATATAAGAATCTATACAATTTTATAGTATGCAGAGAACAATATGTGTTGAGAAATCAGAGAGAGGAGCTGAGGGAAGTCTTGGGGGGAGGGGGAAAAGGGGGGAATAATGAAGATGATATGTTTTGATGTTTTGTTATGTTGAAATTGTTAATAAATAAATTAAGGGGGAAAAAGAACACAAGAAGAGACTGCTGGATCAGGCCTGTGACCCATCTAGTCCAGCATCCTATTCTCACAGTGGCCCACCCACAAGGGAAACATACCACCAGCAGCATTTGAGCACAAAAGCCCTCCCCTCTCCTGCAGTTTCCAGCAACTTGTATTCAGAAACATTTCCTGCCTCTGACCATGACGTTGGTGGCCATTCACTGCCCCCTGTGGCAGTGAGTTCCATAGTTTAGCAATGTAATGAGTGAGTTTCATTGGAGGTCCACTAACCCCAATATTATCTCTTCCTGGCACCATGACATTCTCTGACAGCCCCCTTGGCACTCATCAAGGCCCTGTTCTCCCCCTGCCCGCCCGTTTGAATTTAAATCAAGTTTTTATGGGGGGGGTGGCTTTCCCGGGGAGGGTGTTGTCTATTCCTTCCTTCCTTTCATTTATGTTGGGGTGTGTTTAGGTGTCTTGCAGAGAGGTTCTGAGCACAGCCAGGTTTTTTTTCTGCTGCAGAATAAGCATTTTGCCATGCCCACCACAAAAACCCCTGGAACCCAAGAAGGTAGAGGACTCTAAGGCAAGGGATCAGGGCTGGAAACCTGGAATTATCTCAGCCTTGTATAGAAGCAAATCTTCCCTTATACCAGCTCAGGATATTTGTTCATCATGCTCTGACCAGCAGCAGCTGTCCAGGGCTTCAGACAGGGAGTCACTTCCAGCCCTGCCTGGAGTTGCCATTGGGGACTGAACCTTTTGCACCCAAATTTAATACTCAGCTGCTGAGTTATAGTCCTCCTGATAAAAAAAGCTGCCCCAAACAAATCTGCTGTCTACTGTGGGTTTTTAAAACTGTTTTTGTTGCTCTACCTGGATAGCTCACTTGGTTAGACCATGGTGCTGATAACGCCAAGGTTGCAAGTCCGAATCCCTGTATGGGACAGCTGCATATTCCTGCATTGCAGGGGGTTGGACTAGATGATCCTCAGGGTCCCTTCCAACTCTACGATTCTAGGATATGTGAGCATAAGGAGATAGGTGGACAGATTTGGACAAGGGGCATCAGTGGCTGTTGCCCATCCAGTCCACCTCCTCCTGGGGAAACTGCCCAATGGGAACAGCAGGCGAAGGCTCATAGCTTAGTGGAAGTGCTTTGAAGGCACCAGCTACAATCCTCACTGGCATCTCCAGAGAGGGCTGGGAGAGAGCTCTCTCTGAAACCCAGAAGAGCTGCTGCCAGTCAGAGCAGGAAACACAGAACTAGATGGACCAATGGTTTGGCATGGCAGCTTCCTCCTGTTCCTGTGCTGGGAATCAGGAAGGAGAAGCCCCAGGCTGAAGGTGTTCAAGGGACCAGAAAGGGAAACCCCTGCGGGCCAAGCTCTGTGAGCTGAGCTAGCGGGCAGGCGCCAAGGCAGCCTGTTTCCTTGCCAAGGGGCCTGACAGTCTTCTGGCTCTTATGTGCACTAAGTGGGTAATTCTGTTGCTTCGGCAAAGATGCAATCGCCCTTTCGAGCGGTGCTTTATCCATTTTGATGTTGAGGTTATTCCAGGACACAAGGCTCTTGCTCCACCCAGGAGGACCCTCGCAGAGATGCAGCTGGATTGTGACTATCAGGTCTGCAGCAACATTTCTTTATTGAATTTATATGCCCTCCTTCTCCCCAAAGGAGAAGAGGGCATCAAACAACAAGCGAGGAAATAATACTAATAAAAGCAATCCCAGTACAGGTGCGGACGAGAGTCGAGATCCACACTTAAAGGGCTCGTTGGGAGAGGAAGGTCTTCAGTAGGTGCTGGAAAAAATGACAGAGATGGCGCCTAAGACAGTGAATAGTTCCCAAAGTGAGGGTACCACCCCCTGGGTGGCAGTGGAATTCGGGGGGGGGTCTCTAAGAAGCAAGGGGGCAGCAAGGGGTGCTAGAAGCAAGAACATTATGTAGGCTCCCTTGCACTCTTGGCAAGGAGATGTTAGTCATTTGGAGGAGCGAAGGAGCACATGGCAAAGTAGGTGGGCTCCTAGCTACTCCCAGCCAGAGTGGAGAGGCACAATTTTGTGCCCCCGCCCCCAATTCCGGGCCTGCGCCCTTGTGGGGGGGGGTGTCAATCTTTCCAACTCCTGCCTAGAAGTATGAATGACTATAAGGCTTTGAAAAGCTGGTATTATCATTGCATCAAGTTAATCCGTTTGGTGGAATTTACCTGGATTTTGTACAAATGTGCAATTAAATTGTTCCTGATTTGAACGCTATTGAGTTATTGTCTTCCTAGGCGGTTCATGCAAGATACTATTCCGCATCATGCTTTTTACAGGGTAGGGTAAGGGGCCACTGGGGATGAGTCTTATGAAACCGAAGGGGCAGCGGCTGGAAAAAGTTTGGGAACCATTGCTCTAGGAAGTCGCCTTCTACCAGGTCAGACTCTTGGTCTAACCAACCCCAATATTGTCTGCTCTGACAGGCAGCAGCTCAGGCAGAGGCCATTCCCATCAATTCCTACCGGATCTTTCGAACTGGAGGTACTGGGAATTGAACCAGTGGTCTTGTGCATGCAGAGCTTGGGTTCTTTTGCCATTGAGCTATGACCTTCCCTAAATGAATTGTCTCTTTGTTCATTTATAAATCTAATAAACAAATAAATAAATTTTGTAGCCCATTCAATCCTCTTTGTATCTTGCTGGGGCGTTTCAGGGACACGTTAAGGGTATCGCAAGCATAATTGGAGTCAAACTGGAATCCTTTAACTGCCAAGAGAAGCTGCCTTCATGGAACATGTTGGTCCTCCTACCTCTGTACTGTCTGCTTGCCTGCTCTGACTGGCAGCATTTATCTAATCTCTGGGCAGGGAAAAAGTCTGTATGCAGAGTGTGTGCTCTGTCATTGGCATGAGGCTTTACTGCTAAGTATACATGCTAAGTATACATGTATAGGGATGTGGGTGGCGCTGTGGGTTAAACCACAGAGCCTAGGACTTGCCGATCAGAAGGTTGGCAGTTCAAATCCCCGCGACGGGGTGAGCTCTTGTTGCTCGGTCCCTGCTCCTGCCAACCTAGCAGTTCGAAAGCACATCAAAGTGCAAGTAGATAAATAGGTACCGCTCTGGTGGGAAGGTAAACGGCGTTTCCGTGCGCTGCTCTGGTTTGCCAGAAGCAGCTTAGTCATGCTGGCCATGTGACCCAGGAAGCTGTACGCCGGCTCCCTTGGCCAATAAAGCGAGATGAGTGCTGCAATCCCAGAGTCGGCCACGACTGGACCGAATGGTCAGGGGTCCCTTTACCTTTTTATACATGCTTTAACAAGCACTGCAGCGGTGAATTGCATTCATGCACCCAGGTTTCAAGTCCAAATCTGCTTTGCCCAGTAACTGGCTTCCCTTGGTGGGGCAGAAAATCAGTGCTGCGCACCACCCATCTAGGTCCAGTGGCTTGCCTTTTCGGCCTTGGTGGAGGCTGGGCTCTTCAGCCAGACAAGGCATTTCCTCCTCCTTCTCCTCTTGGGAGTTTCCACTCACCTGCCCTGGGCGAGAGAAGACTTGCTCTATCCAGCTGAAGAACAGGAGACTGAAGGGCCTTTGTGTGCCAGAGAGGCTTGCCCCTCTTTTTCCACAGTGCCTCCAGAGCAAAAGATAAGCCACCCATTGTTTGGTTCCTTGAGCGCTTCTGATGGAATTGCTCAGTCAGAAAAGCTGAAGGGTGTCAAATCCACAAATCCGCTGGTTCCAAAACTGCCTGAAGGGAAGAAAGGGCAGAGTGCAGCAAGAACATCTCAAATACATGCATGAATCCCTCCCCCTCTCCCCCCCTCTTTTTCTTCCAAAGGCCAAGCAGGTGCTCAACCACGGCACTTTAAAAGTGGGTGCTACTGTCCCATGGGGGGTTACCTGGGGGCGCAAGGGGGTGGCAGGAGGGGTCTGGAAGTATAAATAACTATCAGACTTTGAAAAACTGTCCTGATTCTTCTGACATTCCACTTCATTGGATCCAGTAGCATACCCTCCAACATTTCTCAGGTGAAAATGGCGATGTCCTATTCCATTA